GGAGGAGGAGGAGGAGGAAGATTAAGAGGAAGAGGAGGAGGAGGAGGAGGAGGAGGAGGAGGCAGCCTCTGCGTTATCTCGTGCACATCAGACATCATCAGGGTTCCGGCTCAGGAACCAGAGGAACGCGGCTCCTCCTCTGTGGGGGGCTTCGGCCGTGGTGGAGCTGGTGGTGCACCTGGTGGAGGGCTGGTGGAGCCTTTTTCTCCCCTTTCTGACTGTCAGCTGATCGATCCAGTGCGCATCATCATCATCATCATCATCATCATCTGTTTGGTTCCTCTGTATCTTCATCATCACGTGTAGTTGGGCTGATTGTTCTGCTGTTATGTGTTAAATACAGACGGATTGTTCCCGCGGAGCGAAGTGGACCTTCACCCAGTTGACAGTAAACAGGCTCCTCCATGGTGGTGGTGGGGGGGGAATCATGGGGGAAACGCAGAGAGGCTTCAGCTTTAGAAACACCGACAGCTTCTTGTGTCACAAACAGGGTTTGATCATCTCGAGTCGCCTGTAGCTTCTCTGATTGGTTGATATCTCCCTGTCAATCAAGTCTTTGAGTAGATACCTGAGTATCTGCACAACGATACGAAGTTTAACAGCATTACTACAGAATTATACAGCATTATTACAAATATTACGTTGTAATTAATTAACAATGTTTGCTCCATTTGCTGTTTACAATATTGTTCCTTTAAAGAAGTACGTTTTTTGAAAAATAACCCAAAAGAACCCTTTGTTTCTTTTCATGTTAAATACTAATGTTGCATAAGCTGCGCACACGCATACGTTAATTACATACGTTGCATAACAGAAGTGATGTAAAGGAGCTCGTCGTTGCCGTGGTTACTCAGGGAAACAAGCAGGTTCCTCTGGATGGAGATCCTCACGTTACACGTTTGATTCCTCCAGCGTGACCTCTCCCCCACGTGGTCACATGACCTCCTCTGACCCCCCCTCCCTGGCTTCACTAGATGAATCCTACCAAGTGAATGTGTTGTACATCGTGGAGCAAACGAGATATGACCGAAATAACAGAATAACGCTGTGTGAAAGCAGGTAAACACAGTAAAATGTTACTTTACCTCCATCCGCGTGTTTACAGGAGAAATTAAAGATTAATACTAAATAAACAGCCACCAACTGGACCTACGTGTTCCGTCAGCCCCCCACAGACACACACACACACACACACACACGCGCACACACACACACACATACAGACACACACACACACATACAGACACACACACACACACACACACAGACACACATACAGACACACACACACACACACACACAGACACACATACAGACACACACACACATGCACACACACACACACACAGACACACACACATGCACACACACACACGCACGCACGCACACACACAGACACACATACAGACGCACACACACACACACGCACACACACACACACACACACACACATACAGACACACACACGCACGCACACACACACACACACATACGGACACACACACACACACACACACACACAGGCTAATAGGCTCAGTGATACAATATGGATGAATCCAAACACGGTTACATGCTACTCAGAGAGCCAATCTACATTTTGTATGAGGGTTTGTCTCAGCGTCCCTCTTCAGTTTGTTGTCCTGAGGAGACACAACAGGGACGTCTTATTAAAGGCGAGTAGCTGCTAGCGACCGTTAGCGTTCCACAAAAACCAACGTCCCATAGAAGTAAAGTCGCTGGAAGCAGCAGAGCAGGTTGTGGACTGTTGGTACGGACACAGGACTTTAACCAAGGAGACCACTGATAGTGTCCTCATGACACCAAGGCAACCTCGACCTCTGACCCCTCAGAGCCAGTCTGATGGGTTCCTCCGGTCCAACGAGGACTCGGCTGCAGGGCCGATCCGGGCTGAAAGAGCGTTTAAATCATCGCCATCGGGTCTACAAAGTGGGTCTGTTACTTAAATGAGTGACTTACAGTGGCGCCCGTCACACCTGTGTACGTGGTGACCCGGGACCCCGGACGAAGCCCCCGTAGACCTCTTTGTGACGTGGACCTGCTCACTGAGTATCTGAGTCGGTCTGACCGATGTGAGAGCGTTTCCTCTCCCGCAAAGCAAATCAATTCCAAAACAAAATGACGCATCTACTTAATTAGAGCTCGGCGGCGTGCACTCAGGGCCCGCCCCCCCCACGCCGCCCAGGAGCTCCTGGCGGTTTGCCACGCGGGTCTTTGCGGGGTATTTCACAGCGATCAATAATTCAATACTGCGTGTGCTTTGGCGTTTGCTGTCTTTCACTTAAGGGGGGCGGAGTTAGAGAGCGCGCTCCGTCTGCTCTGCGTCCTCCACTCATGGCCTCATGGCGGCGGCGGCGGGGGATATTACATCCTAATTAAATGTAAAGATGAGGTGTAACTGCTCATCTCGCCCTGATGCTCGGTTCCTTCTCACCGACCTGCTGTGAGGGTCCAGACATCAGGAGGACCACAGCATGTCATACACGTGTCCTGCAGGAAGGACGCACAAGCTCTTCTCCATGTGGGACCAGCCTTTGAGAAGCGGACGCCGTGGTGGTGATGATCTCTGCTGCGCTGCCTCTCATTGAGGATTTTCACACTTTAACGGTCAGGTTTCTTCACATCTTTCTTGGGGAGTAAAATAACCAGGTGCTGCTTGCTTTGGGCCTCCATGTTCGGCTGGTTTCTTAAGGCTCCTGACGAATTGACCTTCTGTTGGTACCAATAAAACGCTCACAGTCAGACGTAAATCTTTCAGCGCTGAAAGGTTGGTGATTTCTTTTCATCCCCAAAGCAATCACACTGAGATTTGGTCTTTATCTGCAGTTGATCTGGTTATTCGGACTCGTCGGCTCAGCAAACATCTCATCTGGAGCCTGTGTTCTGGGTTCAAAGGTCTCCAGAGGGGACCTGGGAGTCTGTTTGAAGTTTCACTGCTAGTTTACCGTGACACACTGACTCCAAATAACGCTGTTTCCTTCGTCCAGCAGTGAAAGCCAGTAGTTTCTACTATGCGTCACCAGCTATTTGATGATATTGGGGGGTCATATCTGCCGTTGCTCCTCGCTGTGTGTGCGTCCTTCTCGGTCGAACATCTAACCCTCCACGCTGGTCTAATCCGAGCCCTCTGTTTTCCCTCCAAAGGTCCAGCGTCCTTGCTGATCGTCTCCTCTCGGTACCGGATCGGACGCCATGATGGGTCTCGCGGACGGCCCCGTCGCGAGGTTGGCCGTCGTCACGGCGATCCTCCTCCTCCAGCTCCACCCGTCTTCAGCCGGTGCCCCCGCCGAGCAGAACCTGGGCTCCGTCTCCGCCGTGTCCAATAACAAAACCGAATGCAGCAAGCCCGAGCAGTGTGCGAAGGGGGTGGTCCTGCCCATCTGGGAGCCGCAGAACCCGTCCTTCGGGGACAAAGTGGCCCGGGCCACGGTGTACTTCGTGGCCCTGGTCTACATGTTCCTGGGCGTGTCCATCATCGCGGACCGCTTCATGGCCTCCATCGAGGTCATCACGTCGCAGGAGAAGGAGATCACCATCAAGAAGCCCAACGGGGAGACCACCACCACCACCGTGCGCATCTGGAACGAGACCGTCTCCAACCTCACCCTCATGGCCCTGGGCTCCTCGGCCCCCGAGATCCTGCTGTCCGTCATAGAGGTCATAGGTCACAAGTTTGAAGCCGGCACGCTGGGCCCGTCCACCATCGTGGGCTCCGCCGCCTTCAACATGTTCGTCATCATCGGGCTGTGCGTGTACGTGGTGCCGGACGGCGAGGTGAGGAAGGTCAAGCACCTGCGCGTCTTCTTCGTCACGGCCAGCTGGAGCATCTTCGCCTACATCTGGCTCTACCTGATCCTCTCCGTCATCTCGCCCGGCGTGGTGCAGGTGTGGGAGGGGCTGCTCACCTTGTTCTTCTTCCCCATCTGCGTTCTGTTCGCCTGGGTGGCCGACCGCCGCCTGCTCTTCTACAAGTACGTGTACAAGCGCTACAGGACGGGCAAGCAGCGCGGCATGATCATCGAGACCGAGGGGGACCGCCCGCTTCCTTCCAAGGTACGCTGCCCACAGACGAGCCTCCTCTCCTCCGGTGATCAGTGGATGATAATTAGGCCGAGGAGCAGATGAGGTGCTCCGTGCAGGTGGAAGCGCGTCTGAAACAATGATCCGCTGTCTCTGACTGGACGCCGGCCGAGATGAACTCGCACAGTTCTAAGTAGCCTCACGTTCTAACGTCCTCTCCTGACTGCTCTCCTCCGCTCTGTGTGATGCATGTAATCACCCTCTGAGCTGCCGTGCCGTACATTTACTGTCTGTTCCTCAATAAGTGATCCGGTTGCTCTCTTTTAATTATTGAGTTCTCCGTTGGTACACGGAGAACTCGTCCACCTCAACTTGGCTGAGCTGGCTCAAACCCAACAGCGTCCCCGAGGAGACGGCCCGTTCATTTAGAAGTTTGAAATTGCCGTCGCGCTTCTAGAGCCGAACGATCGCAGATAAAACTGTAAAAAGAGCTTTCAGTGAATACGAGAAGGAGCCCTCTGCTCGCAGAGAAACAAAGTCCATATTCATGTATATATGATATATACTGTATGTTGACAGGTGTTGAAAGTGAGGAGTCTTTGGTGTGATGTCACACGTCGGGTGTAGGAGGAACCCGGATGACGTGTTCTGATACGTTCTGGTTGTTCCAGGACTCTCACGCCGTCCTCACTGATGCACAGCAGTGTTTCACTCCAGAGCCTCCAACAGCGGCCTGATTCCCACCTCTTTCTCTTCCAGGTGGACATCGAGATGGACGGCAAGATGCTCAACTCTCACGGAGTCGACTTCCTGGACGGCTCGCTGGGTTTGGACATCGACGAGAAGGACCTGGACGAGGATGAGACCAGGAGAGACATGGCCAAGATCCTGAAGGAGCTGAAGCAGAAGCACCCGGACAAGGAGGTGAGCCCACCTGGGGCAGAGGCGCCGGGTTGAAGCCGCCCGTTGGCTTCCATTGCGGCGGTGATTATGGCGACGCGGCTCATCGCAGCCTCTCAGATTGATGATACGTGAGAAACCAGGAGTTATCAGAGAGAACAGAGTGGCCATTAAAATCCACACGTAGAACTAAAACGATAAAAACTCACTTTCCTAAGGATGATAAACCTATAGATGAAGTGTTTGTTTGGACGTATAAGGCCGGCCTTCAAATAGAAATACCGCCTTTAGTGGAGAATTAAAGAATCAAAGCCGTAAATGAAGAAAACAATAAATACTGCTTTAAATTGACAATGCCTTAGAAATAATACATTTAATAGTAACTCCTGATAACAGCCCAAAGAGTAAAATCAGGATGTCTCTTCTCTTCCACTCGGTCGCTTTGCAGACTTCTTTATTTAAAATAACAGCATCGACTACGGCGTCATCGGCCTCCCTCTGCTGAGATGTTCTTATAAGCTCCTCAAACACCATTTGTTTGTGAGGCCGCTGCTCTTCCTGATGTCAAGCGTTACTTATTTACCCAGACAAGCTCCGTGAAGCTGTGATCCAGCGGGACGGCGTCTGCACGTGGTCACTGACTGCGACCAGCGGTCGGCCTTTTAAACGCGCTGAAGACCTTTTCCCGCTGTGTCTGTGTTCTCCGACCAGGTGGAACAACTCATCGAGCTCGCCAACTACCAAGTCCTGAGCCAGCAGCAGAAGAGCCGCGCCTTCTACCGCTGCCAGGCCACCCGGCTGATGACGGGCGCCGGCAACATCCTAAAGAAACACGCCGCCGATCAGGCGCGAAAGGCTGTCAGCATGCACGAGGTGCGCTCCGACGTCGCCGACAACGACCCCGTCTCCAGGATCTTCTTCGAGCCCTGCTCCTACCAGTGCCTGGAGAACTGCGGCACGGTGGCGGTGAACGTGGTGCGCCGCGGCGGCGACCTGGGCAAGACTATTTCCGTGGACTACCGGACAGAAGACGGCACAGCCAACGCCGGCTCGGACTACGAGTTCACGGAGGGCGTGGTGGTCTTCAAGCCAGGCGAGAGCGCCAAGGAGATCCGCGTGGGCATCATCGACGACGACATCTTCGAAGAGGACGAAAACTTCCTGATCCACCTCTCCAACGTGAAGGTGCTGACCTCCGAAGGGGAGGAGCCTGGGGACGGCGAGTCGGCCAACCACGTGGACTCTGTGGCGTCCCTCGGCCTGCCCGCCACGGCCACCGTCACCATCTTCGACGACGACCACGCCGGCATCTTTACCTTCGAGGAGCCCGTGCTCCACGTGAGCGAGAGCGTGGGCACCATGGAGGTGAAGGTGCTGAGGACGTCGGGGGCTCGCGGCGTGGTCACGCTGCCCTACAAGACGGTGGAGGGGACGGCGCGGGGCAGCGGCGAAGACTTTGAGGATGTTCACGGCGTCCTGGAGTTTCAGAACGACGAGATCTTGTGAGTAACAATTTTAAGTGTTCATTTGATTTGTGCAGCTGTGCGTCTGTATTTATTGTCGCTCGTGATGGTGTCATGGTGTGATGATGATGAGGGTGTGATGATGATGAGGGTGTGATGATGCTGATGGTGTGATGATGCTGATGGTGTGATGATGCTGATGGTGTGATGATGATGAGGGTGTGATGATGCTGATGGTGTGAGCGTGGTGTGGTGGTCACGATGAGCAGCGGACTGCTAACCAACTAGCAGAATCAAGGACCCCCCCCCCCCCCGTGTCTCTTTCTACTACTTCTGTCTCCTTCTGGTTTAAGTCCTTTCACTCTGGCTTCTCGTCTCTGTGGGTTCACACTGATCCACGACGGAGGAGACAAGCAGTGCGCGTTTGAATGTCAGGACGAGGAAATAATTGGATAAAAAGAGAAGTTTTGTCAAGCGAGGAATTTGAGGGGAAACCTAAAGGGGGGCTGGTGCAGCAGTCAATGCTACCAATGCTAACAAGGAGCATCCATCTCTGAACTTAATTAGGATCCTCGGCGGCTTTCACCGACGGCCTGTCCAGATGTCTTTCTACTGCACGAGAACCTCCCAGACACCTTTTGCAAACCCTGAAGCATAAAAAGAGTCTTCTGGCAGTTTGTGTCGTCCAGGACGTCAGTGTGTCGCTTCACATTCTTCCTTTAACAAAGATGGCGCCTCTCATGATTTGCACATTGCAGTCGGACATATTGCGAGTTTTGATAAAGATGAATTCGTGTTCCAGCTCTACAGCTCAGAGGCTCCTCGTCACGCTGCACAATGGCTCCGTTATGACTGCAATTCAGTAGCTTTCCTTAAACAGGTGTTTAGATCTGTAAACCTCCGCCCATGTCCAGATGCGGGTGGTGTTGTCCAATGAACCTGATGAAGCTGCAAAGACTGAGTGGAGGTGGGGAGGTGGAGGCACTCGTGGAAAAGCAACATGAAAGTACCAAAGACAGAGAGATTGTCTCTTTGCTATCGGACAGAAGAGAACAGCTGATTATGATTGACAGCACCAAACAACAGCAAGGAATTTATGAAATGAACGCGGACGCTGTCTCAGTCTCAGGTGGGACATTTCTTCTGCTTCGGTCTGCTGGTCGTTCAGCCTGAGGGCGACTGCGTACTTCCCCCAGCGTTCAGTTCTTACAGCCACGACTAAGTGGGTTTTAATAATGTCCAAATCAAATGATGGACTGTCCTCCGCCGGTTGTGGTAACTCACTGTGTGTGTGCGCCTGTATTCTAGTGTGTGTGTGTTTCCTGGGGAGAGACCAGAGGTGGAGATGAGTGACTGTTCTCTGAAGTGGAGCCATTTTGTAACCAGAAATCAGTTTGACTCCCACGCGGCGTCCTTCACGGCCGCCGAGCAACTAATGTCCCCTTTCTCTTCACATCTCTGCAGATCACAGATACCTTGAACGTAGAAGTATTTTTTTGCGTCATCATGGGGGGGGTATTTATTTCCTTTGGTTACATCCAGTTGTTACATTGTTGCGTTACATTATGTCACATTGTGATGTCACATTGATGCGTCATAAAACGCTGATGTAAAACATTGTTTTAGTTCAGAATCGTACGATGATGCTGAGATACAATGATGAGACAGTAGCGCCGTGTCTCTCCTCGTCCGGCCACAATCACAGGACACAGGACAAGATTCTGACGGTGTCCCGCTATGTGACGCTATTGTTTTTTCGAGTAAACACATTAACTCATTGACCCCGAAAGAACAGCTGTTCGGCGCTCGCTGGCCAACCTGCTCGTAACTGGCCGGCGAGTTAGCGTGTTAGCGAGTTAGCTTGTTGTGACTGCTAGTGTTGCCACCAGACGCTCGACAGACTTTGCAATTAATCGTTTTCTGATCCAACTTACGTTGAATATTCCAAAAGCAAACGGCTCCTCTGTTGGGCACAAGTTGTGTTATCGCAACAGCTTTACTTCTTGTTGTGAGCTTTACCCAGCATGCAGTTCGGTGGGGTCATTTTTATAAATGTACAATTATTAGTGTCCCAAGCTGTTTTACCCTGTTAAAGGTACACCGCCCAGCACTACTACAGTCGCCTAACAACTGACATCAATGGTGTTTTGTGTATTCAAATGCTAAAATATTACAGCTGACTGTATCTAAAGCTAAAGCAAGTTGGGGGTATAAAAGGCATATCTAAGATGTAAAATGCTGCACACACGTTTCCAGGCTTCAGGCGGATCTGAAGCACGAGCATGCTGCACTGAGCGTTGTCTTCTCTCACCTTTTAAATATGGTGTGAGTTGCAGACACATCGAGGCGATAAACGTGGTTTATCGTGGCGTGACATCGACAGCCGACTCTCCCTGACTCCAACATCACTGACCACACCATCCTGTAGATACTCGCTCTACAACATCAGGAGAACACGTCCCTTTCTGTCCCACATAAGATTGATGTGCCGCTGAGCCCTGAGTACGTCCCTACAGGGACCAGCAGAGGACGTCTTCACTGATCCACATAAGACGGCCTCCAGGCTGATCCTACCCTGATTGTGCTCCTCTGACGGAGAGACGGAGGAGGAGGGATGACTGCTCAGCTAGAGACAGATGAGTGACGGGAGGCGGGACGGGGGAGGGGGGAGGAAAGTTTTAAACCTCCTGCGTTGTGGCCTCACATTTCTCTCATGTGTTCTGTGAGCGATGAGGTGTGTATGTGCGTCTCTGTTAGAGACGTCTGGGCAAACTCACAGCAATCAGCAATGTCAAATTATCTCCAGCATCCGTCCTCACTGGACATCACAGAACAGTCCAGCTCTGCCCGGTGTGTGTGTGTGTGTCTGTGTGTGTGTCTGTGTGTGTGTGTGTGTACTCTGCAGTGGGTCTCCATGACAACGTGACCAATACCCACCAATCGGTAGGGGAGGAGTCACACGAGTGCTTCTGCTCCCATTTCTGTCTTCATCTTGAGACAATGATGCTTTTTACCAAAGGAACTTTTTAGCACAATTTCTTTTCCCCTGAAGTTGTGATTGAAACTAAACTACGATAACTTCTGAACCCACAAGAAAATGAACAATTTAAAGTTGCATGAATAAATTGAAACCCTGTCAAAACAAAATATAACTTATGAAGACAAAACCTACAAAAATAGGAAGAAAAATAAATGACAAGAAGCACAACAAATATGCAGAAAATCCAACAAATCAACAATCCAGTACAAACATATAAAAAGTAAATGATGAGAATCATTTTTCCCACAGTTCACCACGCTAGTCGACATCGTCTAAAAAGCACCATCGCCCCGTCTCAGGGTGGAGGTCTCCTCCACGGAACCTTCCAGCGACTCTCTTCTGCTTCTGGAGGCTCCACTTCACACAAAATGGGTCAGAAATTCAACCTGCTTCTCCAGAAGCTCCATGAAGCTCCATGAAGCCCCGTGAAGCTCCATGAAGCTCCATGAAGCCCCATGAAGCTCCATGAAGCCCCATGAAGCTCCATGAAGCCCCATGAAGCTCCATGAGGCTCCATGAAGCTCCATGAAGCTCCATGAAGCCCCTTGAAGGTCCATGAAGCCCCACGAAGCTCCATGAAGCCCCATGAAGCTCCATGTCGCTAGAAGGAGACGTGTCCCTTTGTGGCTCGCAGGAGAGATGAACGCTTGATCAATCACAGCTTGAGTACAGTACACGCACACACGCACACACACACACACACACACACACACATACACACACAAACATGGAGCCAATTATGCAATTTTCATGAACTGACAGCCAGTAGAGAAACACGGTACGGTCGACAATCAAATTAGTTTCCCCTCCTCCCACACACACACACACACACACACACACACACACACACACACACAGCAGACTGGGGCTTCACACTCCGATGACGAGCACAGATTGGCCCTTTTGAGAAGCTACGCAAACACAACTTGTGTGTAGACATAGTTGTTCACATGGGGGGTTCTGAACCCTAAACGTCCGTCCCACTCGATGATGTCACGACTTCATGTGGATTCCGGCCCGTAAACACACACACGCATCAGCAACGTACGAGATGGTAACAAGCCATGCGGAGGTTTGTAGGTCACATGATTTAAACACACACACACACACACACACAGTCGCTCTGTGAGAGCAGCATCAAGCCCAGTTTATGCTTCTGTGTTTTCAGAGACACGCAAGACCCCCTTGCGTGTCCCTTGCGTGTCCCGCAAGGCTGTGATTGGTCTGCTGACTACGTCCTTTACGGAGTCTCACGTCTCCGTTTTCACAGCACAATGCGGCCGTTATTAAAAGGAGGAACGTTTACCAGAGAACGGATCAGATTGAAGAGCTTTTAAATATGAGCGCTTGTACAAGCCGTCATTGGCGGACTATGAGGACGCCGGATGGCCTCTGATTCATGGAGGGAGATCTCCACCAACGAGGGGAACAAAGTCGTGGAGGAAAATACGGGACAAATGTGTCCTTGATGAAAAGCAGCAGTGTGGATGCACGGGGCAATAAAGTCTATGATCAATAAATAAAGCAACCAGCGACTTCCACACACAAAGACGTGACTCTCCAGGTCGTCTTCAACAGAACACGTGACTCCACCTGTTGTTCTGGAGGTGAATCGCTCTGCAACACACGCAGGACTTTACAACCAGGAAGTGAAACCAGCGCGTCGACGCGTAAAGACGCAGAAACACGCGGCGGCCGTCAGTTAGCAGAGGAAGACAACAAGAGTCTTTTCTGTTGACAGTAGGACAGATTATTGTGTACATATGTGTGTGTGCATGTGTGTGTGTGTGTGTGTGTGCGTGCGTGTGTGTGTGCGTGTGAGACACACAGAGGTTGTGCTCAAGGTGTGATGGTTGTGTTCTCATGTCACAGAGTACATGGTAATAACACCTCTCTTGGCAGACCCACGCCTGTTACTGTGTGTGTGTGTGTGTGTGTGCGTGT